GTGATCGGAATGTGTTTTGGAGGTCCGGGGTAGATTTAGGCTTGAATTGACGAAATTGGAATTTTGGCGTTTTCCGGTTGGTAGCGGATATTTTGATATAGGGGTCGGAATGGAATTCCGGAAATTGGAGTAGGTCCGTTGTATCATTTGGGACTTGTGTGCAAAATTTCAGGTCATTCGGACGAGGTTTGATAAACTTTTTTATCAAAAGCGGAATTAAGAAATTTTTAGAACCTTAAGCTTGAATTCGGTGTTATTTTGTTGATTCGATGTTATTTTAGGTGTTTCGAAGATTGGTATAAGTTTGAATAGTGGTATATGACTTGTTCGTGCTTTTGGTTGAGATTCGGGGGCCTCGGGGTGATTTGGGATGGTTGACGGGGAGTTTGGAGTTGGAAAGTTGCAGCTGAAACTGCTGAATTCTGTCATAACCGCACCTGCGGATTGGGGACCGCAGGTGCGGGACCGCAGAAGCGGGCAATTAGTCGCGGATGCGGAATTGGGTGAGAAGAGCTGAAGGCGCAGGTGCGGAAGTTGGGTCGCACTTGCGAGACCGCAGGTGCGGTAGTTTATGCGCAGGTGCGGTTTTGAGGTTTTAAGTGGAAACCGCAGGAGCGGTCGTTTGGCCGCAAAAGCGGCTCCGCAGGTGCGAAAAACCTGGGCCAGAAAGTATATAAGTCCTCCTTCGCGAATTTTTGGTTATTCCACCATTTTTACATACGGGTTTGAGCTTGAGGGAGCATTTTGAAGAGGGATTTCAAGGGGATTTCGTGGAGGTAAGGTTTTTGGACCCTAAACTTGTTTCTATGATGGTTTTTGACTAATTAAGCTTGAAATCTATGGAAATTAGTATCAAAAATTGGGGGTTTAGGGCTTGAAAATTGGAGACCTTAATCTAGAGATTTGAGGGGTCATTTATGGTCGGATTTTGGTATTTTTGGTATGTATGGACTCGTGGGAGGACAAGGATTTTATTGATGTAATTTTATCGAATTCCGAGACGTGGGACCGGGAGTCGGGTTTAGGCAATTTCGGGATTGTGTTGTAATTTGATTATTTTCGCATGGGCTTCGTTCCCTTAGCATATTCTAATGTTATGATTCTGATTTTGGATAGATTCTATGCGAGTTGAGGCCGAGTCGAGAGGCAAGGGAGTCGCGGAGTAGTATTTCATCCGGTTTGAGGTAAGTAACGATTGTACATCTGGACCTGAGGGTATGAAACCCCGGTATTTCGTATTGTTTGATAAATGAGGTGACGCACATGCTAGGTGACGAGAGTGTGGGCGTGCACCGGTAGGGATTGTGACTTGGTCCGTCCGGTAGCGGCTATTAAGCCGCGTGTTTGATTTGAAATCTTATGATATTCCGTATTTTGGAGTTTTATACTATATCTTGGGCTGTACGCCGTGTTTGGGGCCTTGTGCCGACCTGTTTAGACCCTTAGGGTTATTTTTACTACTTTCCTCACTCTATTTGATTTGAAAGAATATCCTCAGTCATGTTTTACCTGTTTATTATTTAAAACCGGTTTCATTACTATACTTCTTAATATATGAAAACTGTTTGGGCTGAGTTCCCTGATTTTTATCGATATGCCCGAGTGGCCGTGAGGTTAATGACTGAGAGAGGTTGAGGACCTAATGGTGAGGAATATATATACAATCTGGATCGGGTTGCACGCCGCAACGCTATTATATATATGTATATATTATGGATCGGGCTGCACGCCGCAGCGATACTTATATGGATCGGGCTGCACGTTGCAGTGATATGTATTGGATCAGGCTCCGCGTCGCAGCGATATGACGCTTGGGCTTTAGGAGCCCCTCCGGAGTCTGTAAACCCCCAGTGAGCGTAGTCGACTATATATATTAGATTGGGGTGCACGCCGCAACGATTATTATATATATATTGGAGCGGGGTGCACGCCGCAGCGATTATCAATATTATTAATACTATGAGCTAATTATTGAGCGAGAGTGCTGAGAGTGGGTACTGTGTGAGGAGAGCTGAGTCACGAGTGACTGAGAGGCTTGCCCGAGGGGCTATACTTATGAGTGATATCTTGCCCAAGGGGCCTGTTTATGACGTTTTCTCTGTTTTCGCTCTTCTTATTTACTGAGCCTCTACTGAAATTGTTGAATAAATGTTTCCAAGGATTTTTAACTGAGACTTGAGTTTTTACGAGTTAAATTGATTACTGAACCGTAGATTTTTGACTTGATATTTTTGTTGAGATTTCCTGATATATGATTTTTAAATGCTTGTCACTGCACACAGACTTTATGTACTTTAGTTACTTACTGAGTTGGCGTACTCACGTTACTCCCTGCACCTTGTGTGCAGATCCAGGTGTTCGTGCATCGGAGTGAGAGCTTCCAGCACTCTCAGAGTATTTCCGGAGATCGCAAGGTAGCTGCACGGTGTTCGTAGCCCTGCTTTCCTCCTTGCTATCCTAGTATTCTGTTTTTTCAGACTTATGATGTATTATTCAGTTAGTTTTTGAGTTGTATTTAGAGGCTCTTGACCAGTGACACCGGATTTGTTAGGCTGTGTTGGTATTTTGTTCTGGTTTTCCGCATATTCTGTTTTATCCATCTATTTCATATGACGAACTTGAGACTTATTCGATACTAGAAAAACGATTTTTATAAAAGATTTTGTTGTGGTAAATGTTTGGTTGGCTTGCCTAGTACTGTGATAGGCGCCATCACAACCGGAATATTTGGGGTCGCGACAGAGTAGCGTAAAAAAAATATACCAGGCTTTTGCGTTTCATCAACTTGGGGCATTAAAACAAGAAGAAAGAGCGGAAACCACGAAGAGGTGTAAAAAGATTTTATCCAATATATATCTCATTCATCCGGTAAAACTTGCTTGATAAAATATTTTTCCACTAATAAAATTTGTCGGGTAAGCGGGAGGTAACTTTTATATGTAGAGAAAATTATCCAGTTTTATGAATTAAACAGTTTGATTCGAAATGTAGTTTTAAGTGGCAAAATTATACTTTGGTACCATAAAATGAAAGTCTGAAAACCATCTTTCTATACTATCCTTATGATCCATCCATCTGATCAATTAAGAGCCATCACTTCAGCTGCAGAATTCCTTGTCCAAAATACTTGTTTATTGTTTATCCATTAATCAATGACAACAGTTGCACATAACTACAACTTTAAATGGATGAGCATTAACGTACTTCTGTTTATGTTTTTTGTTTCTCTATTTGGTCCGCTTTTGTTCCATCTTAGGCTAGGACCCGTTTTTACTTTTTAGGGTGATTTATGTCAAATGAAAGTCGAGTTAATCAATGTCCTTTATTCTCTTGTCCTAAGTTTATAAACTTAGATTGAGAAATAATTTTACATGTTCTTGAATCTTGCTGACATTGTTGCAAAAAAACTAGTGCAAGTGAAGCATGAAAAGGTGTGTGTGTTAAATATTAGCTTTACCTATATGTAGATTTTGCTTTCCTTTTTGAACACTAGTGTAATCTGACCTTAACCAATTTTCCTTCCTCCAAAGAAATTACAACTTAAAATACACGATATTTTTCACAAATTGATCCAACTACCTATTTACAAGCACGTTTTGTCTGTAAAGCACTAGGAAAGCCAAGTAAAATTATGAGCATTTCCTTTCACTTTGTATTGTGTGGATTTAATTCCATATCAAGAAACAACTCAACCAAAAATACAAAATTTCGTTCCTATATTACATTTCAAAAATACGGTTCACCTGCCACGAGTAATCCCTAAACAGCTAAATTTTGGGAAGACATCACAAATTACGAAGCAAATGATATGACGCCACATGGGAGGAAACCATAAATATATCATTTATTATTATAAGTGGCAAAAATGTGCTCTGCCCCTCAAACTCAAAAGACTTGTTTAGTATATCAACTACTACTATCTGCAGTCTGCTCCAACAGCCTCACTGATTGACTTATAACCATCCTTTTCTAAGCAACGAGCAAGTTCTTCCTACAGAAAGAGATAGTGTTGCAATATGTGAGCAAAATGTTCACTCATCTACAAACAAGAGTAGCAATAAAGAAGACATCATAGCAAGTCGCAATATATGAGCAGAATATGTAGAGTAGTAACAAATAGGCTTGCGGAGGATTAAGCAGCTTAGTCTAATCTCAAAAATGATTAAATTGGAGTAGAATGTGCATTTTTTCCTTTTGCAATCACTAATACTCGTGAAGTAAAATCAAGGCAAAATACATACTTTACCCATCGACCTTGTACTCAAATCCCTCTTACACACTTGTTAAACACGGGAATAGTATTACACACCAAAACTTTTAAAAGTGTGTCAATTACACACCTCTTTTGCCATGCGTCACACACGTGTATTACACATAAAAGAAAAAGTTTTGGTGTGTAATACTATTCCCGTGTTTAACAAGTGTGTAAGAGGGATTTGAGTACAAGGTCGATGGGTAAAGTATGTATTTTGCCTGCGAAGTTTACAACCATGTTCAGTGCATCCATCAAGCATAAGGTCTATGAGGAGAGAAGCGATTACAAGTTATGCCAATTTCCAGGTTAAAAACACCAAATAGTACGCAACATAATGTCGGTGAAGTCCCCCAGAGAAACTGCTGCACCCCCCCCCCCCCCCCCCCCCCCACCCGATAAGAAGGGGGTAGGAAGTATGCAAAACCACTAGACAGGGAGCTATACTTTTGGATTGATTCATCTAATGCTTGATATCATTCTAGTATAATGAAATAAGGGGTGGATTATCAGTCCTCTGAGTGGTTGTATTTTAGTGGTGGATTTGCACACACATGGTATATACCTAATACCTTGTGCATGGTATAAAAGCAAAACGGATGCTTAAATTTCTTATAAATATTTTGAGACTTAATATTGTTACCCATCCCAAGGGTATATCTTTACCCCTTCATCCCTTATCCCTCTTCTTCCACTGGCCCCGTCGCCCCTTGCAGTTTCCCCAGCCCAAAGAAAATAGAAAAAATTTCTCCTTTCTTACACCCTACCTAATCATTATTCTATGGACAAACTTTTTAAGTTAATACTAGCCAAAAAACATTCGACCCCAAAAGAAAAAAGAAATAAACTAATAGCAAAAAAAGAAAAAGAAAAGGTCCTAACATGCATTTTTCAAAAATTCTCTTGCATCTCGTTCATGGGAACTCGAAAATCAGCCTTAGTCCCATGATCGAAACGCAAGAGATACTTTTGAAATGTATGCCCAGAATATCTGTTAGAATCAGGGTGTATTATCTTGTACAACATCTTTACTATACTTTGTACATATTTATAGAAACAAAACAAAAAGAATATATGATACATATTCAGAACTCCAAAATACTTCATACCAATACCTTTATATCGGGGATAAGTGCAGGGCCTCCATATGCAAATGCTGTATAAAGCTGAACAAGAGTGGCACCAGCTCGAATTTTCTTGTAAGCATCCTCGCCACTGCAAGAAATGCATAATACAAGTATTTAAGTAGATACTGCAAAATCTAATCAAGGACGCTATTACTTGTTACATCATGGACAAGGGAGTGGAGTACCTGCTAATACCCCCAGTGCCAATCAGAGGAATCCTTCCCTGTTAGAACAGGCATATTGAGGTTATCTGTCGCATCAAATCCGGCACAGCAGCTTGCACAAATTTCTATGCAAGGGGATTAACAGAACATACCTTAGTCAGAACGTACATCTCCTTCAGTATATTTGTTGACATGTCAAAGAGTGGCTTCCCACTCAAGCCACCAGTCTCTTGAGCCACAGGGTTTTGACTTATGGAATCTGGTCTTTGGACAGTAGTATTTGATATAATCTACAACCATCAAGCATATGATGTTGGTATTTATTGTTAAAAAATAAAACATTTTAGCGGAATACGGAGGTCAAACATTACAAAAAAAAAAGAGAACATAAACCTCGCTACCCATATCTCTATTTCTGCTTTCTTTTCTTTTGGGGAGTAGGGTGGACATGGGGGGAGGTGAGGAATGCTCCTACCAATAGTTATTACTCCATGGATACACACTTAGCATTTGAAGTAATGCCAATGCCATAATTTTTTTTTTTTACAAGCAATGGTTCACGTAAGAACTTCAATTCCCACTTTACTTGATGCTTAGCTTGATCCCTGGAGCAACCACGAGGCATATATAACTTGTTGGAGGAACTTACAATATCCAGATAAGAAAGCTTTGTTTCTCGCTCCCCTTTTCTGGTAGCTAATACATCAACATTTCTTATTATTGGAGATTGGCACCACCTTGGTGTCAGTTTCATGAAAATCCTGATACATTATACTACAAAAAGCCAAGATCTAACAGTTCAAATGTGAATATCATAGAATAAGTGACCAGTTGATCCAATTCTCTGTGTCGGAATGTTCTCCAATCCGAGTTCCCAAAAAAAATCGTCATAGCATGTATCCTTTTCCTTGTACTATATTCATATGTCCTCCCAGCCCCGAACTCTACAAATTTTAATAAATAGTTTTGCTCCTCTAACTATAAAAAGGACAAAAATGTATCTCCCTTAGTCCACCATATTTTCCCTGCAATCTTGTTATATGGAAGTATCCTATTATTTCACTTAGAACATCTATAGTTTTTGCACGCATTGAAGTCATATTTGCGTACATAATACAAATGAAAGGTGCTTGCACCATCCAAGTTGGTAACAATAAAGAAAAAGAAGGAAAAGTGTTAAGGCATGTCAAGCTTCATAGTGTTGATGATACAATTAAGTAAACAAAAATGTGCTATCTCTAATACCTTAAGCTCTTAGATGAGATGGTCACACACTTCAACATGGTACAAGAGCAGGCAAAGGTCCTGGGTTCAAGTCTCACCGTTACTAGTTAGTAATAAGAATTTCACGTGTTTGGCCATGAAAAAGAATATGGCGCACATGTAAGAAGGCTTGTTGAAGATATAATTAAGTAAATAAAAGTGTGCTCTCTAACAACTTAGACGAGATAGCCACACATTTCAACAATTTAAATATTTTGTAAGTTACATATTTTCTGTCAGAACTATTATTTAATTAATGTTAACCTAAATTTGGCTACTACCTTACAATATATTCTATCATCGGTGGGAATAAGAGTTGTAGTAGATGAGGCAGCAGATCTTGTAGCTATAAGCTATTCTTCAGATCAATCCAATATCTTAACCTCAATAGTGAACAAGTAAACTAGCATTACATGTAACCTTCCCTTTCGCTTAACAACGCCCTTCCTGCTAGCCATGATAGTAGCTGTTAAATTTTCGGACCAGAAGAGGACAACTTCCCCTATTCTTAGCAGTTTCTTCAAGTTATTTCTGATATTATTCTAGTTGTTACTGAAAGCGACCGCCATTTTGATGCTGGACAGTCTAACTGGCATGTATCCATAAATATACAAGGTTCAGACAAATTGTTTGCAGATAAACACAAACTTCCAAATCTCTCTATAAATTATTTGTAACAACTGAAATTTTACTTTTTTTGTCACTAGATAGAAAATAAAGTTTCCATCAATAACATGTCCAGGACTGAAAGTGATCAGTAAGTAGCTTTAACAAACAGGAAGCCACAATTAGCGGATTTCAAGATTGTTGAAAGTTGAATGTTATGTCCACCATTAATTTGAGGATAAGGAAGCATAAGGGTACATTGCAAGCTCCAAGATTGACTCCATAATTAATGCTATGAAGACAGTCTTGGGATCCTCTCAGACTCCAAGTAAATACGCAAATATGTGACAAATGAAAGGTTAAACCAAAAACAAAACCGCCTTGACTATCAAATAGTAGTGACCAAGAAAGAGACCGAGGAAATGGAGGGAATGCAAGATTCCTTTGATGAAATACTTTGGAAACAATTTCGAGCTTCAGAAAGTGGGCAACAATTTGACCAACGGGGATGCAATTTGGAACTTAGAAGTCTATAGATAGAGAGGATAATTTGACCAATTAGATCGGTTCAGAAAAGTTTACGCCCTGAAAGCTTGAGATTTTTGGTAGGATGAAGTAGACACCCTTAAAACTTTACTACGTTTAAGCCTACAACTGCAAATGCAGATATCACAATCAAAACTATATCTTCCCAGAAGGGATACTGTAGCACAGTAAAAACTGAACTAAAGCAATCCATCCATGAGATAACCAATTTTCTCATACAGTGAAAGGTGGGAAACCAAGTTAACTTGGACACCCCAAATTCCTAAAACCAAACAGAGCAATTTACTACGGTCAATGAAAGCTGGGTAGAGTTACCCACAAAGGCACGGCACAGGAAAATCATGGATTTTAAAGCCACAAAAGTAGGGTGCTGCCAATTTGGAAGATATGACATAATCATCCATATAACAAGCAGGTCCTTTGTTTTCAAAGTTGAGTTTCTCGGCTTTTAATGATTAGGGCAGCCCGGTGCACAAGGCATCCCGCGTTCACGCAAGTCCGGGGAAGGGCTGCACCCTAAGGAGTGTGATGTAGACAGCCTAACCTAATGCAAGCATTAGTGGCTGCTTCCACAGCTCGAACCCGTGACCTATAGGTCACACGGATACAACCTTACCGTTGCTCCAAGGCTCCCCCCTTCCGGCATTTAATGATTATTTGAGGATATATTCCGGCTTTTAATGATTATTTGAGGATGTATTAAACAGCGAACCTCTACATGGAACAAACAGTTTGTCACTATAGATTAAATGTCTCTCCCTTCCTGGATAGGTAGTCAGAAACAAATTAGATAATGTCATCAAGAATCTCCCAACACCAAAGTGCTCAAAATCCAACACTAAAGGAATTACTAATAAAATAACACGAAAAAGAATACTAAAAGTTTTTCTTTCAAAATGTACCAGTCCATCCACACGAAGAGCAACAGCCACCTACAATAGTACAAAGCAAACAACCCATAAGAACAAAATCAAAAACTACTACGCCTCAATCCCAAGCTAGTTTACATGAGTAGAAAAGCTTCCATACCGCTGCAATATCTTCAAGATCTTGTTTAGATAAATCTGGAGCAATTTTCACAAGTAAAGGCGGAGGTCCTTCCTCACCCCACTGCATTTCATCACGAGCTGCTTGAACCTAAATAAATGCACTGAAAGGACTTAATCTAGTACTTGACAAAATGGTGGCACATATTACCAGAGATAAATTACAACAATGAAACAGAAAGGCAACATCTCAGGCAAAAACCTTCTTCACAAGATCCTTCAACTGCTTTCTTCCCTGAAGCTGGCGTAGTCCTGGAGTATTTGGGGATGAGATATTAATTACCTAAAGCAGTAAAGGAGAATGAATCAGTCTTATAAGCAAAGGAGGTAAGGCGTCTCCAGAAGCTGGTAGAAAATGTCTCCTTTCATCAAGAGAATTTAACTTGGAGAAAGTTTACCCAACTGTTCTCACACACAAAGAAAAATTACCATGTTTTTTTTTCATTTTATCAAATGATGAAATGGAATGAAAGCATTTGCCAGCAATATCTCATGTACAGAAAACAAAAAGAACAGAAGAACTTAACAAGTTTTTAGTCCATAATTTTTTCTGGAGTTTTTTTTTTTTTAGGGGGTGAGGGGGTGGGGGGTGGGGGTGGGGGTGCCTTGCTCCTTCAGGCAGCAAAATGGCAGTCTAATACCTAATTTCTTTCATTTTAGAAGATAATTAAATGATAAACAAATTTATAGACATTTGTAGAACTTATATCACAAAAGCAAATAAATTTACACACAATGTGAAAACAAAAAGGAACACCAAACAGGTGTAACCCACGAGCCATGCACAAGAATATCCAAGTAAAAGAAACATTTCATTTCAGAGATCTACCAAGTAGTCAGCATACTGAGATAATGTATGGACTCCTTGCACATAATCTGCTGCAGCGTCTTCACTTGTTTTATTCTTTCCAAGGTTAACACCAAGAATACCAGGACCAGCTTTCCCTCCATGCTTGACTTCATCTCCTGCTGGAGATGAAGTACTAGATGTTTCCAACTTTCTCTTACCATGCTGAGCACCCAATCTTTTGGCAACCGCAACGATTCCTTCACTATTGAAGCCACACCTATTTATTATAGCACTGCCACCAATAAAAGGATTCTCACTTTTTCAACTTTCAAAATCAAGCTTTTTGAGTTTCTAATATTTGACAAGTATCAAGCTTTCTAATTATTACAATAAAGGAAATGAACTTCACCGGTAAACCAAAAAACATAAAAGCAGTTCAAGCTCAGACAACATAATAGATCTTGATAGTAACATAATCTGATTAGACATACATTCTTACCCTTCATTTGGCAACCTAAATATACGTGGTTTTGGGTTGCCTTCCTGTGGAATGGGAGTTACTGAGCCAACCTCAACAAAGCCAAAACCTAATCCAAGCAATCCTTCAACAGCCTCAGCATTCTTGTCAAAACCAGCAGCAAGACCAACAGGATTTGAGAACCTTCTTCCCCAGACATCAAGGCTCAATATAGGAGGATCTGGCCTCTTCTCCCTTGGAACCCACCCTCGGGCTGCAGCAGAGACTGCCAGTTTGTGAGCAACCTCTGGATCCAGAAATGCAAAGAACGGATTTACAAGTTTTGTTGCTGAGAATAGCCAGCCACTGCATGTTTTTTGAAACATAATAAATGTTATTTTCACACAAACCTTGTAATAAACAACAGCCGACCAGAAATAAAAAGGGGGATCGAATTACAAGTAACATGCTCAGCCAAAGGGAAAAGGGAGAATCGGAAGTGGTTCAAAGTGCTTATGTAAGCCAACAAGATGAAAAAGATTGTCAAAAGAATCTCATAAACCAAACAGCAAATACAAAAGATGCCTATATGTGTATGATGATCAAAAATCTTTTATACATATAACATCCAAGTAATTCAGACAAACAAGCTCATAGAAGCACACCAAAATCCTTTCAGCATTCTGCCTCGGCAAGAAAATCTAGCTAATTGAAGAAACCATCAGAAAGTATAGGCAATCAGTTCTCTCTAATTTAAGAAGCACCATGCTCAAACCCCAAGGAAATAAATATTTACAGTTGATTTTTTGGAAATGTGATGCACAGCTGGCCTTCAAAAGAAGAAGGAAGAGCCGAGTACGGAATGCAGCTCCTTTGGCACTAATGTCGGTATTTTGAAGGAAGTACAACATATAAAGGAACTGTTAACTTTCTAAACAAAAGAGCTGCTAAAGGATCAGAAAATAAAATTGTACAGTTGAGAGCTAGTCTTTTCATTTTTGGTAAAATTTTGGAGCACCCACGAGGTTCATGTTAGTATAAATGACTGGGTGACAATAGAGAACCATACAATGCAGGTTCTCTACCTTTTGTGTACCACTTGTATAAGGGACAATGCAGGTTCTCTACCTTTTGTGTACCACTTGTATAAGGGGGTTTACCCATATCAATAAATTCATTACTTTATCAAGTAAATAAATTAATATTCACAATGGAGCAACTTCTAAGATAGCATTCACATGAAACAGCCACCACACACATACTCTCAAAAATTCAATTTTATGCCAGCACTAGTATGAAGCACCAACTAGCATTATTTTATCTTTGCATCTCACAAGCAACTTAGGAAAGCATCTATTAGGTTTTTATAGGCCGTGTTATCAAAGGCGCGCTTAAAGCATGTTTAAGCCCTAAAGCGAGGCTCAAAACATGTTGAGCGCTTCGCCTCGCTTAGCGGGCGCTTCAGTGTTGTCATCAAGGCTCTAAGGCACACTTTTCCTTGCCAATGAGCATAATCCTGAAGAGGCACTAAACAATTGATATTTCACTTTAACGTAAATTTTCTTCAATTTCTTTGTCCATATATTTGGTATTCATGCTTATAGATATTAGTCTTGGACTACACATACATATTTGAACTTTTTCTCCATTTGCGCTTTTCTTCAATAAAGCCTACGCTTAATTTGCGGTTTGCGCTTAAAGCCCCATCAGACCTTAGAACTTTTTTGCGCTTTCGCTTTTGATAACACTGTTTATAGGTTGTTCCAACTCTTACTAAGAGTATTACTTCCACATAAACAACGTAGAGATCATCTCCAACCCCCAGTCCTACCCCTCTGAAAAAACAAAAAGACAAAAAGTCTAACCAAAAACAGATGCTGGTAGCTTTACTATCTCTCTCCCCGTTGCCTGAACCTCCTATAGTCTAAGATGCTGACTGCTCTTTGAATACTGAGTTCTTCCAATTCCATATGAACTGAGACCTAGAAAAAAAAGTTAAGAGCTAAAACTTAGAAAACTACTTTGTCAATGTATTGCTAGCCCCTTTAAAACAGTATATGCATTAGAACTATCAATAAATTTTTTTTTGAATTTATATGGTAAACTCCCTCAAAGATCCTGGTGTTATAGTCATCTGTGGCCCTTTTCCCACTTTCGATAATATTAACCGCACAAAAGTATAATGTAACATTATGTTCTCTAGCCTACCAAAAATCTAATCAGCTAGGCATGCAAGTAGCAAGCAATTTACACCAACAATACAAACGAAACAAGAAAGAACTCTTCCTCTCTCTTATCATTGAAACTTTTGGATCCTTCAAGTTTCTCCAATTTCTTTCTTCCCATAATAGCAAAAGATACAAGAACTAGAAGTGTTTAAAAATCTATTTCCCTAACTCCCAACTTGCCATCATCTCTGCCACAAAAGTTTGGTTATTTCTTCGCCCTTCCAATTTTCTTTTAAATTTTCATATAACTAGTTGGAACAATTCTCCATCTTCGAGCCTCCCTCTCAATGGAAGTCCTAATATTTCATGGGGAACTGTCCACTTGTCCTACCTAGCATTCGTCACTCTGTCAATATTGTATGTTGTGCAGCTCCCCAATCAGAATTAGTTCTGACCTTCTCATGTTGATACACAGTCCAATTGCCTTGAATCATATGAAAGTTCTGAATAATCTCTATCCTATACGGTCTGGAGTTCATATAAAACCAATGTATCATCTGCAAATAAGAGGTGTGAAACTAATACCCACCTCCTGCGCCTCTTATTCTATATTCCCTCTAGTAACTACCTATAAATATCTGGTTCTTTCCAATAGCTTGCTTGAAGCCTTCAAAATCTACATCACTTACCACTTCGGCAGAAAGAGAGACAAGATGGAGAAATTTTGCGTCATTCGAACTCTAATATTCACATTATTGAGTTGATTATTTTATGAGGACACATTACTGAGTTATAAGTCCAAAATTATCTCTGAATTGGAATCCTACTACTCTTGCCCTTGGTTGAGTCTCCTATCTAGATATGCTAAAATATACAAAAGAATAGTAAGCTTCATGCATCCTCTCGAAAATCAAAACCCATATCGGAAGAATGCGTTTGGATGGTTAGTTGCAGCCATACTAAGATGTAAGCGCACCATTTACTTTCTCTTCTTGTGTGTGCTTGTGTGTATGTGTGTGTATATTCAACCAATGCACCAAAAAACAATTACACCAGATCACATTTCCTTTGTTTGGTTCACTACGGGATTCATGAAAAGAAATCTATACACAACACATGCATTTATTTGTCTCTCAACAATTCTACAGCCAATGCTGTAAAACGTAATATCTCAAAGATTTAAATTCAGTACCAGAAGGTGGCCTCATCAACCGTACTTGCATAAGCTCCCCCAGCTATTAGTAGACCAATAGTGGCTCCTGTAAACAACCTTCCCTACAGTTTTAACCAAGATACTGAATTAAAATACAAGAAGAATCAAGAAGAGATTACTAACCCTTGCAAAAGCCTTAGCAAATTAGAGCCCTGACCTCAGAGGCGATTATCATATCCACCTTTAGGCCATCAATATTTATTAAAATTGGGAAATTTCCAGATTAAACTTCTAATATTCTCGAGAAAAAGGGTAAAAGTTTTTGAAACTCTGTCTGGGGCCAACCCTTAAGACCAACTGCAGCCTTCGAAACTCAAGGATAATGTGTCCACCTCTCTACCCTTCTCACTTAAATACCAGGCTTACTCAAAAAATACAACCTTATTCCATTTAAATACAAACTTTAACCATTTGGGTCACTCAATTTCATACATACATATTATTTACAAAACTTTTCCTGTAGTTTTCAGCAAGACAATTACTCTAGTATTACAAGAGTACTCTAAGCTGACAAAATTAAAGATACAAAATCGTAAAACCAAGTAGAAGGGATAGAAAAGGAAGTACCTTTTTAGAAGAATGAGGAATCTTAGGTGAAGGAATAGGAGGAACATTAGCTGAAGAAGAAGTGCAATAATGTCTGGGAACAGAGCTTGGTTTTAGCTTACGGTACAAGCTTTCTCTAATCAATGCAAATCCAACCCTTTGTCTCATTTTCTTAAACAAAACGAAAATCAAATATTTAACAACTGAATAAACCCTTCAAATTACTACTCAAAAAATGCTCGGTATATTGGACGAACAAAAGAGAGACAGCAACTGCTGTTGATTCTAAGATTATAATGACTGAGAAGAGTTTTTAGGGCACAAGATGGGAGCG